GACCCTATGAATTTTTCATCAGGTTTCCTTAGGCAAGGAATACTCAGAGGTGGTGTTGCCAGTTCTTTGCTCTGAAATATAGCCTCCAGCACCTGGTATTTGTTGGCAGTCTGCCATCCAAATACTATGCAGGGATAACTCTACTTAGCTTCCAGGATCAGGGGGAAACTGGTATCTTTTCATGCTGGGTTTTCTTTAGTGCACTGAACCCTTTTTTTCAGTAGAAGGACACACTAATCTTCCCCAGCCTGAAACCTTTCTGAACGGTTGGGTAACAGCTCCTGTCATGACCATTGGCAATGCTGGCTAGGAAAGACCTACGCAGGCAACAAATTGGGGGAGGTGGCTTTAGGCAGTAATTCATATCTGACCAGGATGATATTTTGCCTTCACCCTACTGTCTGTTTGATTTTCCAAAATTTTCACCCCACCTTTCTTCCAGTGAGTACAAAGTATCAGACCCATTTCTCCCCATCTCTCCACATAACATCAACTGTGTGAAATAGTTCAGGCTTGAAGAAGAAGAGAAGGATTAGCCCAAGATCACTTGGGAAGCTTCATGACTGAGTTGGGATTTGAACCCAGATTTTCCAAATCCTAGCCCAATGTTCTAACCACTCCACCACACTGACTATCACTGTTGAAAGTAATCATCGCTGGAGCTTGAAAGTTTTCTTCTTTACTGATGAAACCTCCTTTCTTTCCTTTGCTTCACCCATTGAGGCTTTCACAGACAAGAGTTTGTAGCATATGAATGTAGGGTAGGAGGAGATAAAACCTTATCAAGATGAAAAAAGTATCCTGACCGACAAAAGAATGCTTAGCTGAGATGTGCAGTGAGACTAAACTTGTTGTTATCAAGGACTGCTATTGACAGGATAAGGTCTACTATCAATATTGAGAAACAACTTAAGAAACATCACTTCCTTCTACTTCAGCATTCTCTTGCTTTTGTAAGCTCTATGGCCTGCAAGCCAAGTTGGTTAAGAGATTAACACTCTAAAAACCACATTTACTCTAATTAGCCATGAAATCTTTGTAACTAAGTGAAAAAATGTTTCCCTTGAGGGAGTTTTGTCCATTCACCACCATTTGAATTGTATTGAGGGAGGGGGGTGAAGAAGGGGGAATACCAAGGGGGACCAAAAGAAAGAAAGAAGGTTCCGATCTAATGAATTAATACCCAAATGCCTGAGGGTGAAAGCAGAAGTCAGCTGCAGAAAACAAGCATCTGAAATGGAAGAAAAGGGGTGGGCAAACAGTGTGTCTATGGGGGTCTCTTTTGTGGGTTTCTCCCCCCACCCCTCAGTCAAATGGATGGTTGTGAATTATTTCTAGTTAACAGACTGTAACACAATGCATGGGTCTCGGTGATTTGAGGAGTCGCTTGGCTAGCAGTTCCTGGTTTTCCCATTTGTAGTGATGGACAGAAGTACATTGTACCCCCTGGCTATGCATGTATGCAGCTACACAGAGAGACAGCTGAGGGGGGAGAGTGTCAGAAAGAAGGGCCCTATGTTGAATTGTTTAAATATTATTTTACTGAGGGCGAATGGTGGGAAGAAGATGGCAAAGCAAAGGGGGATGGAGCGAGAACCTCACCACAACTTAGAGCCATAAATATTTCATGTCAGAAGGAATAAGGACGATTATATTCCTGCCAGCGCCTTTCTTGTGTATTTTAAACGTGTCACCGCCTTCAATTCTCTCTCCCTCTGTTTGTGTGTTTCTTGTAACATGCCCATGAAATAAAGATTAGCTGAATAATCAGGATTGTTTGGAAAAGGGAAAAGGCTCTGCTTCTCAAAAACACTGCTGGCTCAGGTTGGGCAGAGAGTGGAGCTTTTTCTTACTATTGTTGTTATTCTTTTGAAAGAGTAATAAAATGTTCTGGGAACAAAACAGAAAGAATTATGGTTGTTTAAAAGTTGATGGATGGTCAAGCAGACAGATGTGTGATAGCAAAGGCTGGAAGAGCAATGAAATTAAGACACATATAATGTCAGGGAAGCTGCCTAAATACCTTAAAGGCTCCTAACTGATCTTGGAAGCTAAGTGGGGTGATCCCTGGTTAGTACTTTTATGGGAGACCACTAATGAATATCAGGTACTATGGGCAATATTCCAGAGGAAAGAAATAGCAAAATCATCTCTAAATATTTCTTGCCCAAGAAAACTTTACTCATGGTGTTGCCATAAATCAATAGGCAACTTGAAAATACATACACCAATGCAGGGCAACATTGGAAACAGTGCAACTGAAAATAATGAAGTAACAATTTACACTGTCAGTAGTGAAGCCTGGCATAATTTTTGATTGCTTCTGACAGGCCCATAGCCAGGATTTTGATTGGGGGGGGGGGGGAAGGATCTACCCTAGCAAACCTTTTGTATCATTTTCCTAATACCCCCATGCCTATGGGATATATTGAGCATGGTGAGCAGATTATGATATGAATAAACATAACAGTTTAAATAATGTACCAGTAAGGTCTTCTTGTTGACCACCCTGAGAATTTCGGAGGAGGGTTGAAGCCCTCACCCCCCCCCCCCCCCCACACACACACACACTCTACATGCCTGGCTTCTAAGAAGGTCCACTTTTGAACAGCTGCACAAGTGGGCAAAGACAGTCAGACATAGTACATAAGCACTAGTTATGGATGCCTTGGAATAATTTTTAACCCACATTCATCATTCTTCTTGGAGTGCTGGTATATTATGGGAAGCTCTGACATAACATGTACAACACCTCCTCATTGCTTTAGAGTGTTTTATGTTGGCGTCCTAACAGCCTTAGAATTCTTTCCAACATCTGTCAACCTAAGTCTTAAATATTATCATGGGGCATTGAAGATGCCAACCTCCTAAGAGAGGAAAGTAAACGAATGCCCAATTGATTTTTCAGTTTTTATTACTCCTTTCAGCATTGTGTCTCTTAGAATAAAACAGACCTCTTTGAAAGACTCTGTGGTCCACTCACTTGTAAAGATTGTTTCCTTTAGCTATATTGTCCCATGCATGAAATTTTCTGAACACACTTAAAGAGCCAAAGGAAGATGATGGCATTTATTTGATGCTCTCAGAAAGTTTAGGATGTTGAGTTTTGCTCCTTGCTTTCTTTGCGCCTAGGAAGTTCAGATTCTTCAGTTGAGGAGATGAGCTGACTATAGAGTTAACAAAGAAGCATCACCAGCAGGAGAGGGGAGAAAGGACTCACTTTTGTGGAATCTGTTCAGATTCTAAAGCAGCATCTGTAACATGTTTCCACAGCAAAAAAAAAAACTACCTGTAAGTTTAGCTGGGATGGGGCAGGACTCTTCAAATCTAAATGACATGAGCAATAAAGAGTTCCGTAAATAGAATGACTTCATCTTTTTGTAGTGACCATTGCATAGAGTTAAGAAAGGTGTTTGCCAGGTGCTATATATCTCAAAAACCAAACTCTGTACTGAACTTTTATCTTGAGCTAGCTGTTTTCCTTTACTCATATCATGTATATAATAAAGGAATAACCCCACCTTTACAGAGCCAGAGGTTCACATAAGGATTGAGGAGCTCACTATGGGAAATATAACAGGAAATAATTGTTTAAGATATCAACACCCTGCTTTTGAATGGCTATTGCTCTCTATAAAATATAGCTATCATTTGCCTGACCAGAGAGGAGAAGTAGGTCATTTACTGAACTTGGTCAGACAGTGTCATCCAGTTGATGAGAGCTCATAAAGTACAATCAGGCAGAGCTGCTAAACTAACCCATTTCATTGATGACTTACATAAATCCTGCAGAAATGCAAGGAAACAAAACACAGGTGTATGTGCACTCTTGCACGTGTGCAACACATGAACATATAGCAGCCTTGTCTAGTACCTTCTTTGGCTCACATGTTAAACTCACTCAACACAACAGATATCTCTCTCTCCCACCCCTACCCCACCCCACTATAATATCTGTTTGTTCCCTGTCAATCCATGAGTTTTTGTCTAATGCCACTGTGTGCTGAAGTAGGAGCGCTTAACCATCCATACATGCCAGAAACTTTGGAAACACTCAAGGCTTGCTCTGGAGAAGACAGTATCCCATATTAGACTGAGCAAACAAGGATGCTAAGTAACCCATCTGTTTGTCATGCAGCAGATAGGAAATGTAAAGGATGGGCTCATTTAGTGTACACATGCACACCTTGGGAGGCAGGTGCTTTGTGCATCACTTCATGGTGTTTGTCATGTGCCTTCAAATCAACTCCAGCTCATTAGGGTTTCTTGGCAAGGTTTTTTCAAGGCAGGCTTGTCATTGCCTTCCTCTGAGGTTTCCCGGTTTGGAATATGGATTTATTCACTCCCTGGAAAGATGTTCTTCAGCCCAGGAAGGTTGCTTTGATAGCCATGTCTCATCAGCCTTTGAAGACTCTGCAAGACCAGCCAGGCTGTCTCAGTGGGAACTCCCCCTTCCTCCCTCCCTTCGGAACCTGTTTGCTTCCTCTAATGCACTTGCCTTCCCCATGTGCAGAGCTATCAGCAACAAGCTAAGCATCCGACTGAGTGAGGAATGGGGCTGGGAGGATCCCAAAAAATGGAAATCTTTCACCCTTTCGCTGCAGCTGCAAAGAACCCCTGGGGAGTCTTGTCCCCGCTAAAAGAAGGGGTTCCGAAGGGACACGTGTTTCCAGAAAGACAAACCTAATCGGGGGGTTCTCTGAAAGGCTGATGGAAGCTCAGCGTTGAAGGAGAGGAGCCAATTCCACCAGGAGAAGTGCCCGGAGAGGGCAGGTGGGGACAGCATAGCAACCACCCCCACCACAAAGACGACACAGGCAGCTATCTATCAAATGGGGGTGCGAAAAAATAAATAAAAATCCCAGGAGCGTTGGGAAGGCAAAAGAATCAAGAAGGGTGGGAGCGCGGCAATCTCTCCTCCCTCCCCGCCCACCCAGTTTGAGCTGGGCATTCGGGTGCGGAAGGGGGCCAGGCTGATGGGTAACCCTTTGCCCACTTACCCGCGCTCCAGACCGGCTCCCGCCGCTTCTCTTGGGGGGCAGCCAGCTTTCTCCCCACGCTGGTGCCACCGCCTCCTCCTCCTCCTCCTCCTTCTCCTCTTCCGAATTAGGGAGCGGTAATCCACACCGAGTCCCGATTCATGGAAACCCACAGCAGGGCACGGATCTGTATTCCGAAAGTGGCGCTGGAGAGGTTCCGGCTGATCTTCCAAGCTGAGGATGGGCAGCTGCTTCTCCCGGCTCTTGCCCACCCTCTGCCTGCCGCCTGGCACCGGCGCTTTCCCGGCAGCCTCGCCTGGGTTTGCCTTCACGCCGCCGCTGGCTTCATGGCTGGGGAGCTGCCTCTGCCTCCCGCCCTCCTTCCCTCGGCTTCACACACACACACACACTCACACACACACCCGGCCAGGCAGGCGCACTGGGCTGAGTCTCCAGCCGCGGTGCCAGGGCCGCTGCCTGCCTGCCTGCCTGCCTGGTGTGCGCTCCTCGCCGGGCTCCAGGCTGGCACTGCGCTCCTCGCTTTCCCCATCAGCAGCGGCAGCGGCGGCGGCCTCCGCCAAAGCCAGCCTCCTCCTATTACCGTGGATCTCATTAACATACAGTCACAGGGGGTTAACCCTTCCCCAGCCGGCGCCTCAAATCCCAGGCCTTGCCCAATTTGCTGCAGTCTCTTCCTCTCTTTCCCCCACCCACCCCACCTCCCTTTCTTTTCTCTCCAGGCGACGTCAGAGCCAAGAGAAATCACAAAAATCGGGAGGGGGGGGGGTGGCTTGTTGGCTGAGTCGGAGAGGGAAAACGAAAGGGGCAGGCATGGGTTTAAAAATAGATCCGGCCGCGTTTGGGTCTGGGGTGGGGGGAAAGGGAAAGGACAGGGGCGAAGAGAGAAGGGTTGGGGGGGGGGGGGCTGTCTGCCTTTTTTCGTTTGCTTCTAGGGAAGCGCGCTGAAACACACTCAGGGAAAAGAATTCGGGATCAGGGAGGAAGGAAGAGTGTGCCCCCCCCCCCCAGTCTGGGAGGCTCCGATGGAAGGGAAAGCGGGGGCAAGTGGTGCTTCCCTTCCTTCCCGAAGCCCAGGCTGCTGAAGGCGCACCTGCTACAGGTGGGATGGTCTTTTGGGAAGCGAGGCGCTAGGGAAGCAGGGAAAGGCAGGGCGGGAGCTCCTTCTCCTCCCGTCCCCCGCAGCCTGGTTTGGCACCCGGGACCTCGTCTCAACGGAGAAGGCATCTGCACTGTAGAATGGATGCTGTGTATTGTCGAAGGCTTTCACGGCCGGAATTACTGGGTTGTTGTGAGATTTCCGGGCTGTGTGGCCATGTTCCAGAAGCACTCTCTCCTGACGCTTCGTCGGCATCTATGGCAGGCATCCTCAGAGGTTGTGAGGTCTGTTGGAAACCAGGAAAATGGAGTTTAGATATCTGTGGGTATTCGCAGTGGGTTAAGCCACTGAGCTGCTGAACTTGCTGACTGAAAGGTCGCAGGTTTGAATCTGGAGAGTGGCATGAGCTCCCGCTGTTAGCCCCAGCTTCTACCAACCTAGCAGTGCGAAAACATGCATACGTGAGTAGATCAATAGGTACCACTCCACGGGAAGGTAACGGCGCTCCATGCAGGCATGCCGGCCACACGACCTTGGAGGGGTCTACGGACAACGCCGACTCTTCAGCTCAGAAATGGAGATGAGCACCAACCCCCAGAGTCAGACATGACTGGACTTAATGTCGGGGAAAACCTTTACCTTTACCTTATATCTGTGGAATGTCCAGGGTGGGAGAAATTGGCCACCTTGATTAGCATTGAATGGCTTAGCAGTTTCAGGGTCTGGCTTCTTAGCTGGCCAGGTGATTAGCTGGCCATTGAATGCTACTCAAGGTGGCCAATTGCAACATTCACAGCTACCTCAAATGGACAAGAGTTCTTTCTCCCACCCTGGACCTTCCACAGATATATAAACCTCATCTTCCTAATTTCCAACAGACCTCACAACCTCTGAGGATGCCTGCCATAGATGCAGGCGAAACGTCAGGAGAGAATGCTTCTGGAACATGGCCATACAGCCCGGAAAACACACAACAACCCGGCGTGGGTGCTGCTTGACCCCGCTTTGGCTGCCGATGCTATGGAATCACTGGAGCTGCAGTTTTAGGAAAGCTTTGGCCAAAAACCGACCAACAAATCCAAGGATTCCATAGCATTGAGCCATGGCAGTTAAAGGTGTGTGTGTGTGTGTGTGTGCCAAACTGCATTCAGTCTCTAGTGCAGATGCATCCCGAGATAGAAGCATAAAAGCGCCCTCCGGAGCGCATCCTTTGGAGAGAGAGAGAGGAGAGCAGCGCGCGAGCAAGGAAACGCCGCGGAGATCTCAGGCGCCGCCTTCCCGCTTGTTGCGCATTTAAGGAAAGTCTCCGGAGATCGAGGATCACAATGCTTTCATGTCGGGCCTGCGGGGCTGCTGGGACCGGGCTGAACACGAATCGGGAGATTCTTTAGGGCGCAATATTAGAACAGGTTTCTGGGCGGCGAGAAAGAAAGGAGAGGTGGATATATATGAAAATGAGCCTACTGGCAATGGTGAGCATCCGCGCCTTTTCTTAAGGAGAAGATAGTCCAAACTTCTCGCGTGCAGCCTCGTCACTGTTGGAGGGCTGCCTTATACCTTTCCATGGCCATTGGACAAGTCTCCAAACGGAACAAAGAGAGCTTCCACATGTAAGCTGAATATTTATTATTTATCGTGTCATCAGCAACCATACCATTGTATTACAATTCTAACAGAGCAAAACAAACACACAGATTAAAAAGAAAAAAAAACACAGATTTTGCAAATTTGGTAGTTGGTTAAATGTCCTTTGACCAGTATCTGGCCACTTGGAGTGCCTCTGGTGTTGCCGCAAGAAGGTCCTCCATTGTGCATGTGGCAGGGCTCAGGTTGCATTGCAGCAGGTGGTCAGTGGTTTGTTCTTCTCCGCACTCACATGCCAAGGATTCCACCCTGTAGCCCCATTTCTTAAGATTGGCTCTGCATCTCGTGGTGCCAGAGCGCAGTCTGTTCAGCGCCTTCCAAGTCGCCCAGTCTTCTGTGTGCCCAGGAGGGAGTCTCTCATCTGGTATCACCCATGGATTGAGGTTCTGGGTTTGAGCCTGCCACTTTTGGACTCTCGCTTGCTGAGGTGTTCCAGCGAGTGTCTCTGTAGATCTAAGAAAACTATGTCTTGATTTAAGTCGTTGACGTGCTGGCTGATACCCAAACAAGGGATGAGCTGGAGATGTCTCTGCCTTGGTCCTTTCACTATTGGCTGCTACTTCCCGGCGGATGTCAGGTGGTGCAATACCGGCTAAACAGTGTAATTTCTCCAGTGGTGTAGGGCGCAGACACCCCATGATAATGCGGCATGTCTCATTAAGAGCCACATCCACTGTTTTAGCGTGGTGAGATGTGTTCCACACTGGGCATGCATACTCAGCAGCAGAGTAGCATAGCGCAAGGGCAGATGTCTTCACTGTGTCTGGTTGTGATCCCCAGGTTGTGCCAGTCAGCTTTCGTATGATGTTGTTTCTAGCGCCCACTTTTTGCTTGATGTTCAGGCAGTGCTTCTTGTAGGTCAGAGCATGGTCCAAAGTGACTCCCAGGTATTTGGGTGTGTTGCAATGCTCCAGTGGGATTCCTTCCCAGGTAATCCTCAGAGCTCGGGATGCTTGTCTGTTCTTAAGGTGAAAGGCGCATGTCTGTGTTTTAGATGGATTAGGGATCAGTTGGTTTTCCCTGTAATAGGCAGTAAGAGCACCTAGAGCTTCGGAGAGCTTCTGTTCAACCATCTCAAAGCTCCCTGCTTGAGCGGTAATGGCACGATCATCAGCATAGATGAAACTCTCTGTCCCTTCTGGCAGTGGCTGGTCATTTGTGTAAATGTTGTGGAAGATAAGCGATTTTAGTTGAATATCCTCCTCTATTGGCATACATAATGAGATCTCTTGGAGATGGGGCCCAACTCTAAGCCCAGAATTCATTGATGTGTCATATATACACATAACCTGAAGGTGGTTTTATACCATATTTTTAGTCACTTTGCGCAAGGTAAGTGCACATGGAGCCTTCAGAAAGCAAAGGTGTCACTTATCTCAGCCACCCATGTGAAGCATTTGGATTTCCATATTATTATTATTATTATTATTATTATTATTATTATTTAGTACATTTCTATATCGCCCATCTCAGCCTTCCAACGTGGAGGTGGTTTACAAAGCAAGAGTTCAATGCCACCAAGGACATAATTACAATATACAATATAAAAACATCAGCAACAATAAAATCAAACATTATAATAAAACATACTTCAATCAATATTCATTAAAACAATGTCCATATAGTTATTCTGTTATCATATCTGTTACTCCATATTTTCAAATGCCCGCTCAAAAAAGCCATGTCTTAAGATTCTTTTGGAATGATAGGCACGAGGAAGCCAAACTAATCTCCCTAGGAAGGGTGTTCCATAGCTAAGGGGCCACCACCGAGAAGGCCCTGTCTCTCATTCCCACCAACCGTATTTGTGATGATGGCAGGACCGAGAGCAGGGCCTCTCCAGATGATCTTAAAGTCCTCACAGGTTAATAATTCATTCAGACAGGTAAGTTGGGCCGAAACTGTTTAGGGCTTTATAGGCTAAAGCCAGCACTTTGAATTGTGCCCGGTAGCGAACTGGCAGCCAGTGGAGCTGGCGCAACAAGGGAGTTGTATGCTCCCTGAGACCCGCTCCAGTTAGCAATCTGGCTGCTGTCCGTTGGACCAGTTGAAGCTTCCGGACAGTCTTCAAAGGCAATCCCACATAGAGGGCGTTGCAGTAGTCTATACGGGATGTAACAAGAGCATGGACTACTGTGGCCAAGTCAGATTTCCCAAGGTACGGGTGCAGCTGGCACACAAGCTTTAACTGTGCGAATGCTCCCCTGGTCACTGCCGAGACCTGGGGTTCCAAGCTCAGCAATGAGACCAGGATCACAGCCAGACTGCGAACCTGTGTCTTCAGGGGGAGTGTGACCCCATACAACACAGGCTGTAACCCTATGCCCTGTTCGGCCTTACAACTGACCAGGAGTACCTCTGTCTTGTCTGATTCAATTTCAATTTGTTAGCCCTCATCCAGATCGTCACAGCAGCCAAGCACCGGTTCGGGACCTGAACAGCCTCCTTAGTAGCAGGTGGAAAGGAGTGGCAGAGTTGGACATCACCTGCATACAGATGACACCGCACCCCGAAACTCCGGATGATCTCTCCCAGTGGCTTCATGTGTCTCCCAACAGGTGTCTCCCAATGACACCATCTGGGTACGACCCTCCAGAAAGGACTGGAGCCACTGTAGAACGGTGCCTCCAAGGCCCATTCCAGCAAGGCGTCCCAGAAGAATACCATGGTCGACGGTATCAAAGGCCACTGAGAGGTCCAGCAGAACTAACAGGGACACACACACCCTGTCTAGCTCCCTGCGTAGATCATCAACTAAGGCGACCAAGGCTGTTTCGATTCATGAGTGAGTCTAAAGCCAGACAGATAATCTGTGTCTTCCAAGAATACCTGGAGTTGTAAACTTTATTTATATACCACTCTATCTTCCCTAGGGGAATCAGGACGGTTTCCACAAGTAAACATAAAACGTACAGAATAGTCATTAAAATATA